AATATTTAGTTTATAAACTATAACATTTATAAATGTATGAATCATATGGTGAAAAACTGACTTTGAAAAATAAATCTGTTATTCTTTTCTTATAAAAGTCTAACTAAAACATAAATATTGGTGGTAATTTTTGACTGTGTAACTTTACAAACAGCAGCCCACAGTCATCTCCCAATAAATGTCCTTTCTGATGATCTACCACTCACTTTTACTCAATACTTTTACCTTTAATACTTAAGTACAAAACTATATCAGATAAGACTTTTATTCAAATAATATTTAGAAGGACTTTTACCTTTTACCAAAGTAATTTCATGGTGAGATACATGTACTTTTACTCAAGTTACAGTTTGAAGTACTTTGAACAGGAAAAATGGTAAAAGTCTTGATCTTGTAGCTCTTTATCAAGTCCATCAGGACTCCAAAGTGCTTTACATTACAGTCATTCACACACTGATGGTGCTAAGCTACACTGTAGCCTCAGCTGCCCTGCGCCACACTGACAGAGGGGCGGCTGCCATGCACCAGCACCACCGGACCCTCTGACCATCAGTAGGCAAGGTGGGTGAAGTGTCTTGCCCAAGGACACAATGACTGAGACAGTTGGAACGGGGGATTGAACCAGCGACCTTCTGTAATCAGGAAATTTGCAGGTTAAACCTGCATGTCAAATTTAAGACTTTTAAAGAACTCTTTAATGTCAATTCTGCTGTTATAACCAAACACACGTGTGTGACTCAATACAACACACTGAAGATTTGGTCCAACAAAGATTGTTTTCATCCCAAATTCTATTTTAATCWATTTGTTTCCCACTTAACGCAGTGTTTCTGTTTCAGGTGTTGAAACATTTGTTCTTTGTAGAAGAGCCTTCAGACMGATGTTTGTTGCTCCAAGTCTGAGGCTGTGAAACCTGACCAGTTCCAGAGAACTGAAGAAACTGTCTTTGCTAGCTGACATATTGTCATGTTGTGTAGCAAGAGTCTTGAGCAGCTGGGCTGACCTCTGAACTACAGCAGGCCCACAGAGACTGCTGGAATAAAATACACATTTTTCCTCAATTAAGTCTTTATAAATGACAAATTAGGGCTGTCAAATGATTCATATTTTTAATCTGATTAATCCCATAGTAGCTGTGAATYAATCATGATTAATCTTAAATTTAATATATATTTCGATTGCATATTGATAAAATAAATTATTTGAGTTATTAATTAGTTTTTAATGTTTTTATTTAGAAAACAAAATTGATTCTTAGACATGATTTTTTGAATATAAAACAGGACCTAAACAATGTTTTAAACATATTTGAGTCAGTTACATTTTGTGCAGAATAATGAGGTTAAATCAAGTGTGCATTGCAGTATACAAACCTACATATTCAGCCAGAGTAAAGTGATTGTAAAGTTTAATTGCGATTAAAATTTTTAATCTATGCCCATGCAGCACTAAAATTAATCCGAGTTAACTCAATTAATTTCACAGCCCTATAATTAATCAGTGAAACTGATTTATGGCCCAACCCTACAGGATATAAAGGTAAATTCATCTCTGTGGTTCAATAAGTGTAGTTATTAGGCTGGAAACATCCAACAAAAACATATTTACTAAATACATTCATGCATGAAGTTAATGTGTCTTAACCTCCAGTTTCTCTTCATGTGATTCTCGGTCGGGTGAAGATGGAGAAGTTTAGTTTCATCTGAATAAATTTAAGGCCTTTGAGTAATTGTTAGACCAACTTACATGTTTTAAAAACAAATTTAAGGGTTTTTAAGGACCCTCAGCCACCCTGGAAATCTTACAGTCATGTAAAGTATTACCGCTGGAGAAGAAGGACAAATAGATACAAAACTTTATAATAAAATGTAAATAATAAACCGAGTTTGACAAAGACAGAGCTGCAGACATGATGAAACCAGAACCGAACATGGAGAAAAGATTAGCTGGAAAAGGCTTTGACCAAACAAAACACACAGTATAACTTCACTGAACACAAACACACAATTACACAAAGTTACATACCGCAGACGGTTGAAAGCAGGTTTTAGAAACGGACAAATGTTTGACTTTCCCGGGTGATGATGCGTTCACGGGTTATCGGATGACTGGATATTATCTTCACCTGACCCGACAAAGTTAAAGATTAATAGATGTAACTGCACAAAATAAAACAATATTTTGTCTGAAATAGTACTGATAAAACTCACTCATTTTAACTTTTTTATTTTGTGTGCTGAACAGGATTGTCGTATGAACGCCTGAATGTACCTGAACACATCCTGCTCCGTCGCACAGGATATGACGTATAACAGTAGCGACGTTAAAATGGCAGCATTAGCGTCCTTCATTCTCAGGACCGGATCAGGTACAATACATGTGTATTTAAATTACATTATAAAATATTTGTTTGAGTATTTATTGCGTTAAAGCAAACATTGAGCCGTTCCTCAGCTCGTGTTGTGTTTTTACATTTTCAACAAGACGTTTAGCTCATTAGCTAACGGCTGTTAGCAGCACCATGATGTGACTGACAAAAACATTGAGTTTCATGTCGTTATTTACATGTTTAGGTTTAATAATACCTTAATAATTTACTGCTTCTACATTAGAAACAATACTTATGTGAAAGTACCCAGTTAGACTGTTCTGAAGCATTTAAATCTGCTCAATAAGGTGACCAGATTTAATATACAGACATTTAATCTCTGAGATTAAAAAATAAATAAATAACGAAATGTTATAAAGGTGATAAAAAGTAACAGGGATCTATCTATCTATCTATCTATCTATCTATCTATCTATCTATCTATCTATCTA